ATTAATAGGTTATTGGTACTTAAGAAGAGAATACTTAGACAAGAAACTCCCTTGTTGATATAAAAAACAATAAGAGCTTTCTTCTAACAAGATGCACACAAAAAATCTCCTTCTATTTAGAGTTTGACACATATTTTAGTAAATTCAGTCGTGGACATGAATGTATGTTTGTCGATTTAACAGAATAATATAAAAGGGTTAGGAACCAAATTGAAATTGACTATTAATATTGAGCATTAAAAATCATATTTACCCAACAGGACAATAGAAACAATGCAGAAAAGCCCCTCATAGATTTACAGGTGCTGGGCTTATTTCAGATCAATACTAAATAATCAGCCATTGTCTTTGATTAAGCTTTTCCTCCAACAATCATGGAATGTCTGATTCTACAGCTTTTCCTTCTGTATCTAGCAAATGTTTCCTTAATGTCTCTTCTTCTCCTTGGCTTATTGCTATGTTCTTCTCTTTGGATTTTCCCCATAAAACTGAATAAAGGCCTACCATAATCAGAACCGCTCCAATTATACTACAAGAGAAAAGAAACGAAAAATGTCAAGATTCATTGGAGTATGCCTTCCATGGATCAATGGTTTAGAAGCTTAAAGATTAAGATTTCTGGATGAATTTATGCATACCGTCCTGAGTATAATTGATCACCAAGAATAAGAGATGCCATGATGGCTACTAGTAGTGTCTGCAATGGCTGGAAGACTGCTACATAAACAGGACCTCCTTTGTGAATACACCATGTTTGTAGAGAAATGACAATCCCAGATGCCACAATGCCCTGTAAAGAAGAAAGAAGAGATTGAATTAAAGTATTAGTTATATGGTAAAATTCAAGAGTAAATGAATTGAGTGTTGATCTTACAGCATATAGGATTGTGAACAGCTCTTGTCCTGATTGGATTTTCCAGTTATTTAAGTCTGTCTCCACAAATGCAGCTATAACCAGGAACTGGATCAATCCAAAGAAGCATGTAAATGAGGTGAGTGTGAGTTTTGCTGGATACTTTTTCAACACAGGAGCCTGCAAAACCATCCAACCAGCCCATGATAAGCAGTTTCCAAGAAGGTATATACATCCCCATGTCCAGTTTTGCATTTTCTTTGGGGAGATACCATCTTCCAAGGTAAATTCTTGTGTTTGTCCTGACAGGTGCAGAAGAGGAGGGCCTTTGTAAAGAGTGATGATGGTGGCACCCCCTACACTTGCAATAGTCCCTAACACTTTTGCCCATCCATCTCTACTGGGAACATTGACTTGCTCAAGTCTGCAAAATGGATTGGGAGAGAGTAATGAGATGTTGAAGAATTAAAAAGTCCTTGTTTAGGAAAACGACTAATGTTGTGGAACAGACAACCGTTACCTTAGAGCAGAAGCCATCACAAAAGTGATTGCTGGAACAGAGTTTTGCATTGCAGAAGCAAAAGTTGGAGATGCATAATATAATCCCAGAAGATAAAATCCCTGGTTTGCTGTGATTCTGACAACATATATACAAAAAAGGAATCAGCTTATTGACAAGATCGGGAAGAAGAAGATATATCACATTTGAAAGCTTGTGCATTGCTTCTACTTACCCCAGTAATGCAAGAAGGAAGAACTGAACCAGTAGAGGAAAAGTAAGGGGTGGTCTCTCCTTCCTGAAAGTAAAAAACAAGATTGATAACGATTCTCAATTCAGTATTCATTTTTGTTCCCAAATTGGTACAAATAATGGGTACTCACTTCTCCATGAAATAAGCAAAAGGAGACAATAGACACAAGGCTATGATGTTTCTGTAAACCGGATAAACAACTTTGCTGACACCAATGTTTAATGCTACCCTGGAGACAATGTGGAATCCTGCAAAGCAGAACTGCAGTGCAAGCAATGCAAGAAGAAGTTTCATTTTATCGGAAACTACACTCTCTTTTGCCATGGTCTTTTGAATCTCCAAATATCACCTTTGGCACTTAATTTGGTTGAATTGTTGAAGTACAATGACAATGGAAGAGAAGTGTGCTTATATACATGGACATATGCATGCATGAAGAAACATTATCATTGTTCGAAGCATGAGGGAAGCAAGCCGACTCAGAAGCACATGCAGAGATGAGATAATCTATATTTTTGTTGTTATACAAAGTCTGATCAATCTCAATCTAATTTGGTTATTGGCTTATAATTAGTGTTTTGTTGGGGAGGCAATTTGAAGTTATATAACATGTTGGCCAGACAAGTTGGTTATCATGACCTCACCAAACACAAGGTTTGTTAGGCATCTAAATACCAGTCACTGTTCATTATCACAAGAAAAACAATCATTAGAATATGCAGATTAATGCATTTTTGATTGGAGGGGAAGAAGAGAAAACTTGGAAAGGAATCAAAGATGGCATGTGGTGGACCGTATGATGTAATGTTCTTTATTAATTTGCATGAAGAAGCACATGGCACGCAATGTCAGAAAGAGTCATAGTCATAACAGAATAAACTACCTCTCCTGTTTCATGAGTTCCTTAATTATGTTACTATTTTCGGGTTCAATGGAGTCTGTGAGCCATGCATCTGAATTTTCTGATTGCACCATGATCTGTTTCTGAATGTAATTGAGTTGTAAATTTCTTGTGCACTCAACTGATCTGATGGAAAAGCTAAGACAAATATAACTAGATGACGTTCTTTTGTCCATTCCACCATATTTCATCCCATAATATTGTGTTCCATTCTCCTTTGATATCTCTCTCCAATCAACTCTGTGATGATTGAAGACAAAGGGATCTTGGATTGAACTCCCACCTCTGACCTACTAATCACTACACAGAAAGTTTGGCTTTTGAGTCAGATTTTCCCCTAACCAATTTTGAAGAAAAAAGGAGAGGGGTTACTTTGGTTCATATTTGTTCTGGGACAGTTTTAATTCCATTGGACTAACAAAAGTGTAGCCTAACCATGAACCATACAACTTCGATCTAATTTAGGATCAATCTCAGGGGTTTAAAATGCTAAACAGTTAACTTCCAATGTAAGAGAAGAAACTGCATTTGCATTGGATACATTGTATTGGAAGAGGGTGATACTCAGTTTAGACATTTGTGAATGGAGTTTGTCTCACCTAAAACAGATTCTTATTTCATCCAGAATCTTAATCTTAGATTAGTATCGTGCCATTATTCATGAACCTCAACCCATGAGAGTGTTCAAAATTTAAATAAATCTTCAATTTGGACCTGCTCCTTCATAACATAAAGGATAGTTCTTGTTTTTTTCTTCTTTTTATTTGACCAATCAATCATTTTGTTAACATGGAGTTGTCCAGAGGTTTATCATTTGCCTTGACAGATATGTCCTGCCTTCAAGAACCCATGTCAAGCACTGAGTAATTTTTAGTACATTCCATGGATAGCACACCACTTTCTCAAACCTCTCACTTTTGAACTTGAGATTTTTAAATTTCAAGATCTTAGTATGTTATAAACAATAATTTATTTTAAAGCAATGTTACCAGTAAAATATTTTTTATATAATTCAAAACTTATACAATATGACCTGACAATTTAACAAATATATATTTCAAAATGATGTTTTTCAACCCAAATTACATAAAAGAGTTTAACTTAGTCTTTAAAAATACAAAATATCTTTAATGAATCTTATTCAATAGAGATGTTTAAACACTTTTCCAACCGGATTGGATCCAAACTCAAAAAACCATTTTTGTATATATATACACCACCGAGTAATAAAAAGAATAAATCATAAAATGCCACAGCAGTATTGTAGATAAAACATTATATTCTCATCATTTCCCTTTATTTTAATAGATTTGAAGAAAAAGAATTATTGAAATCCAGAAAAGGAAATACCATGTCCAATAATACACATCTGACCAGATAATGATAATTGGTTCGGTGCTGTGCCTAACTAGCCGAGAATATTGGCATGTTTAATTCAGGCAACCATGAAAGCAAAACTAAAGCAACTGACTGTTGTCCGTGGAGCTTCTACAATCAAAGAAGAAAGAAACCTTTTGACAATTGATAGCCAGCCAGCAAGAACAAGATGCCCATGATAAATTTGCTGAATGTAAGATTCTACTTGCGTCTGAAGACAATGACAACTGCAGTGCAGTTATCTTTGCAACGCCTCTCGCGGACAGCTTCCCTTACAAGGCGGCGGCTGACCGTTGCAACAGTTAAACCCTCCTGCCAAAGACACATAACTTTCATTACAAACCATAGGACATGATCAAGGAAAAAG